CAGCACAGAGGGCAGGAAATGGAGCAGCAGGGAGCGGCCGGGACGACCCGCGGAGACCCAGGCTCGCTTATGGATCCGGTGTAGTGGGCTGCATGTGGCCGGATTCTCCAAGAACTCCCAGGTCACCCGTCACCGTAGCAGCCTCCCTGCCCGGTGCGGTGAAGCCGGGACCAAGGGGCGGCAGCAGAGAGGGAGCGTGGAACCCAGGACGGCGCGTTGGCAGGGTCAGGGCAGCGGCTCAGGGCTGGAGATGCACTGGCTAACACCTGGAGACGATACCGGGGAGACAAACCCCGGTCTGACCCCTCCGGGCACCTGCAGCCCCGTCCCTCACGCTGCAGCCTCCCTGCCCGGTGCGGTGAAGCCGGGACCAAGGGGCGGCAGCAGAGAGGGAGCGTGGAACCCAGGACGGCGCGTTGGCAGGGTCAGGGCAGCGGCTCAGGGCTGGAGATGCACTGGCTAACACCTGGAGACGATACCGGGGAGACAAACCCCGGTCTGACCCCTCCGGGCACCTGCAGCCCCGTCCCTCACGCTACACCAGAGCCCTCCCTGCCTCGGCCCTCCGACTTACGAAGATCTACCACTTCCGGGGGCGGGGCAGCAGGCCAGTCACCTCCACGAGAAAAACGCACCCAGCACCAGCCCCCGGGCAGGGATTTCCTTGGGCCAGCACTAACACGGCTCGCTTTGCTACCGAGGCACCAGCTGTGCGGTGACGTGTCCGTGCCAGTCCCTGGGTGGATAACGAGTCGGCCAGCTGCAGGGAATGTCTCCTCGTTATACCAGGGGTACCGGGCAGGGGAAACCGACAGCAGGAAGCTAAAAGTCACAAAGATCAGGCTGGAGGAGGCCATGGGAACATGCCAACACCTCTCCCCCGCGGGGGAGTCCGTGTAGACACGTTCGGTGGGGGCCAGCTACATGTCACAGCAGAGGGGGCACTGGGGTTGGGGGTCACCGTGACCATGGACGGCCGCCACAGAGCACGTGGGGTTACCTGCTCGATGTTCGGCTTCTCAAAGGGCGGGCTGCCGAGGGACCCCTCTACCACGGGACGGCTCATCTGCAGGATGCATTTCCTCAGCAGCTGGGGAGGCAAGGGGACTGTCCAGGCCAGGAGCAGCCGGCCAGACCCCCCGCTGGCATACGTGGTGCCATGCTGGTACCTTTAACCGGCTGCATGAGTTACACCACCTAGCGAATGACCTACTCCTTCCCTTGACACGTATTCCCCGGGGGGGGGTCAGTTTGGGACAGTGCGGAAGGAACATCTGGTTTCCAGCAGGATGTGAGTGTGCAGCCGTTTAAATGACTCATGCCGATCGGTTACCCAAACAGTTACATGTGCCTCCCGGTCCGGTTCCCTGGGAGGGGGACAGCAAGAGGGAGATTTATGTGTCATAGATTGTAAGCTCATTGGGTCGACTGTCTTTTTGTTATGTGTGTGTAAAGCTAGCCGCTGCAATGCAGAAAATTATACAAATTATTCATATATATGCAATGACTCCAGACTGGCTCATAAGTAGTGATTGACCGTGGGACTTTCAGCCATAAAGGCTCCATTACAGTATGTGCAGCCGTGAAAGACGTAACTATCTAAACTAGGGATGTGAAAGTGTAACCCTTGACATGGTTAACCAATCAGCCTGGGCTCATCCATTAATGTGCACGGTTACATGCGAGGTCTCCCACCTCCATGCTGCTCCCTCTGTGTCAGAGGCAGCAGCACAGGGCAGCAGCTGGCTCCCTGGGAGCAGGGTGGCAGGCAGGAGCTGGTACGTTCCAGCTCTCAGAGAGCTGGCTGCTGCCCCATATGTAACCGTTGAAATTTTCAGCAGTTCACAGTTATCCAATTACAAGCATTTTAACATCCCTCATTTCTAGCAAAACTCTTCTTCTAAGCCAGTCTTGCAGCTGGGCTGCCCGAGGCGGGTTGCCAGACGTTCAACAGCTCTGAACCTTTCCTGACTACTGTCCCTCTTTCAGGTGGCTGATGTGTCTTGCCTACCCCCAGTGGCTTACAAAATCAGACACCAAAATACAAGTGTCCCAGTACCTAGTACAGAACCAGCGCTTATACCGTCTCGTTTTACCATATAAACCAATTGGGATGTAAACCCTGTACTTAGATGTCTGTGTAGATTACGTGGAGTAGGGATGTTAGATAGCATGTAATTGAATAGTTGTGTATCCGCATCAAATCTTACTGGTTACACAACTATTGGATAGTCCAGTTAGCTCCACATGCGTATCAGTAAATTGTCACAACCATATATACCAAAGGCTAGAATTAAAAAAATGAACACATATGAAAAGGACAAATCAAATTTCAGAACAGAAGGGGGATGGGGGAAGAGGGGAAGCAGGCAGGTCTTGTGCTCATGGCGAGCCACCTTTTAAGCTAGCTCACAGGCACCGGATCCCACTCAAGACTAACCAATAAGCCCAGGCTTATCGATGAATCGTGTAGTGTCTACACACTGATGTTCCTAACAGAGCAGTACAAGCAGATCGCGGTGTGTGAAATTCTAGTTTGTATTGACTTTGCTAGTGCTTTGTTCGTAGCCGGTTATACAATTAGGCTTCGGGTTGGCAGACCCTGAAGATGTGTGTGTACCTCCGGGGTACATAGCCCTGGTTCAGAACCAATGTAAAAAATCAGCAACTCCACTGGGCTGAGATTCCTACACAGACTGGTTACTCCCAGGCCTAAGAGAGACCCCCCCCACACACAGACTCTCCCCGCACTGGTCATGTAATCTGTCAGCTGCTCTTCCTAGCTCCATCACAGGCCCGGTGAACAGGGATTGGATTGGTCCTGCCTTGGGCAGGGGGCTGGACTGGACCACCTCCTGGGCTCTCTTCCAGCTCTATGGTTCTATAATCATTTACAGCACAAATAAAGCAGAAGGGGTCAGTTATTACTTCAACAATTGAAGGCCAGATGCGGGCTAGGAGAGGTATTTTGTTCCCTGCTTGTAGGACGACAAACGACCATCAAGATGGACACCGGGAGCTTGAGCTCACCAGGATACAGAATCAAAAAGGCGTCAGGAATTCAGAGTTCCAGCCTTTGCCAGGCGGGATACACACAAATGGGATAATTTACGCCAGGTCCTACACAAATTAGACACAGTCAGAGGGTAACACGTGCTGCTACACACGTGCAGACTGTTCCCCTCACGGGGAAACAAATTCTCCAGCTATGCCGCTCTCTTTTATCGAAGCTGGAATAACGAAGGTCCCCTCCAGAAAGGGGCAGCCCGGAGGTGGAGAGGAAGGCCGCCTTGAACACGGCCTGGCAATGCTGTCGCTGAGATGGACTGCGAAGGCGTCTGGGCAAGGGAGAGTAAGGAAGGGGGCGCCCATGGAGTGTGCCCACTGGGCAAACAGGAAGCCCTGCCGCAGAGCTGACTTCAACTGAGCCTGCCCTGGAACGCGCCCGCATGGCCAGAGGCAGGAAGAGAAACGCCAGATTTGAGGCTGGAAACTAGAAGCCTTTGCTGTTTGTCGACTACACGGGGGTCAAACCACTGTCATGTGGGCAGGAACAGCCTGCTCCCCCTGCTCAGCAAGGAACGGTCAGAACTGCTGTCCTAGGCCCCCCCAATGCCACTGGCCAGGACGTTAAGGCATCGGCTCAGCTTGCACCAGTGTCCCCTCTCAGCTGAGCACTCAGGTGGTGGCTCAGATGATTAGCGGAGGGCCCAAAGACAGCAGCATGTTTCTACTGGTGGTGCACATCCACACATGCCTTGGTGCATGGAACAAAATTTATCCTGCACGTGGATAGGACACATTAGAGAGACGGGACACTGGCTGACACCTTGTCCTAGATGCCCGGCTAGCAGCTCCAAGGCAAAGCTAAGCCGCTGCTTCCCCACCTCACCTTGAACAGGTAGAAGTACACTTGCTTGGTGTCCGTGTCTTCCTCTTTGTGGACCGACATAAAGAGATTTTCCACATCCACCACCATCCCCAGCAGCCGGTTGATCTCTTCTTCCGAGACGTTCTCCAGGTGGGACACGTGGTCAGCTGGACGGGGAGCAGCAAAGGCGATGGAGAGGCTTAGGGGGAGAGGGCACCATGCCGCTGGGACATCCCCAGCGAGCCTCAAAGCATGCACAGCACCGACCGGGCCCCCCCGCCAGTGCAGCGCCCTCCGCTCTCCAGCCCTGCACCCCCGCGTGGGTCCCCGCGCAAGGTGGTACCTAGGGCGTGTCCGCAGCTCCGGCACAGCTCGCTCAGGTTGGTCACAGGCTGCTGCAGGTCCATGCGGGGGGCAGTGGGCGGGGTGGGA